CTGGCACTGCATGCCCAGCATTAGTATTACAGGTGTCTATCCCACTGTGCCTATCTTTTTATGTGGGCTCTGGGGATCTCCATTCAGGTCCTTATGCTTATGCAGCAAATACTTTATCGACTGAGATAGCTCTCCAACTTTTTATAAGCATCCTTTTGGTCTGCTCATCCCCAGTTAACTTATGGAAGTTTAGGTGAGACGGATGAGGTCTCTATTCCTTGGTAGTCTATCTTTTAAATCATCTTGTGAAATTCTGAGTTCAGAATGGAAACAAATGACATTAGGGGGCACTTCTGTTTCGAGTACTAGGTGTCTATCCTTGGTATCCATCTTGGACTATGAGCTATTAGGGGAGTAAATCTCTAAAAACACGTTACATAGAGAATCTCCTCACTGTTTATTCTTTCTTTGTTTTCTCCTTTAAAGCTCTCAAAATACTATTTGGCAACATCCAAGGACCCATCTTTCCTACAATTCTCATCCATGAATTCTTATATTCACCTGCCCATTCATTCAGCAAGTACTTATAGAACACCTACTTTATGCTAGGGGATGTTTTAGGCAGTAATGATTCCATAGTGAGCAAAATAGTGTCTTGAACTTGCAACCTAATGGAGAAAACAGGCACATACATAGTATGTCAGAAAGTGGTAAACGCTCTGAAGACAGAGTAAAGGTGTGTGCACTGGGGTGTACAAGGGAGCCCAGGGAAAAGAAATTATACTAGCAAAAAGATATTTGGCAGAATCCTGCAGGGAAAGTAGCAAGCTATGTGGTTAAATGGCAAGAGGGTTCCAGGGAACCACAGGAATCATGTCCTGACATTAGCATGTACTTGACCCACCAAGAAACAACAAAGACTCCAGCTGCAAAAAGGTGTGTAGGAAGAGAAAGAGATCCACAGGGTGGTGGCCAGATCCAAGAAGACCACAGAGTTATTATAAAGACTGGCTTTTTCTCTGAGAGACATGGAAAGATCTTGAGCAGAGCACTGCCATGTTCTGACTTGTACGTGAAAAGGGTTCTTCCAGATATTTGTGAAAAATAAACCGAGAAAGGGGAAGTGAGAGAAGCTAAGAGGCCAATGAGTGGTCATGTAGATGTAATTCTAAACGGTCTTATTAAATTAGAAATGCAGAGACAAATAAAGAGTTAAAAGCCCAGAGATCAAGCGGTAGCCAAGAGCTAAGATCACCACTCACTGCTGTTCTTCCCCTGAGAGAGAGACCTTTTTCCTGTGTCCTCTCTTTTTATTGCCTTTCTGTTCTGCCTTCTCATTGGTTCTAAACCCAACCACATGACTTCCCCATCACTGCCTGTCTATACAGACCTCCAGGTCTCTATGGTTCATACTGAGATAAAAGGTTCAGGTTGTTGCCATGTGATCGGATTAAGGGTGTGTGCCACCACTGCCGGACTTCTGCTAAATGGCTTGCTCTTAGCTCTGATTTCTAGGCAACTTTATTAACATACAAATAAAACCACATTTCAGCACAAATAAAATATCACCATATGGTTGTGTTTTTTAATAATCCAAGCAAGGAATGGCAGAAGTTCAGAAGGTATGTGGACTGTAGTTAGGTTTCCTACAATCAAGTTAAAACATTACAAATCTTATGAAATGGTTAGAAATCAGAATGCTGCCAAGATTATTGGGTGATACTAAGACATTATTGGTGGGAGTAGTTAAGAGTAGATACTCTCTTCCAGAGGACCAGAACTCAACACCAGGTAGCTCACAACTGCCTATAATTCCAGCTCCAGGGAATCCAATGCCACCTTCTGTCTTCCATGGGCACCTGCACAAACATGAACATATGAATTTAAAAAAAAAATGTTTTCAAGTTAAACTGTTGCTCACTATATTAGATGTTATATTTTCTGTTGCATTGGTCTTAGTCCATTCCTGCTGTCACACTGAGTAATTTGTAAGAATCAGTACTTCATTTCTTATTGTTCTGAAGACTGGGATCAATGTAAGGCTCCAGAAGAGTCAGTACCTAGTAAATGCCCATGCCTTATATGGGGCATTTTCTATTCATTCTTACATGCTGGAAGGATATTTGTTATGATAAAATACCATAACAACTTGGGGAAGAAAGGGTTTAATTCATCTTAGACTTCCACATCACAGTTCATCATTGAAGGAAGTCAGGGCAGGAACTCAATGCAGGAACCTGGAGGCAGGAACTGAAGCAGAATCCATGGAAGAAGGCTGCTTACTGGCTTGCTCTTTGTGCATTGTTTTGTATATTTTCTTATATAACTCAAAACTGGATCCTCCCATTGCTTCCAGGTTCATATGGTTTGATCAAGGAAAACGCCCTGACAGGTCTCCAGATGATCCAACATCCAAAATCAGCTTCAAGACAACTGGCTCAGACAATACAGCATTATAGACTACTCTAGTGAGGACCTGACAATAATTTATCTTATAATTTTATTTTCTTTATTTTATCTTAATTTTCTCATGATCCCCATAAGATTACCAGCACCCACAACCAGCAGGAAGTAGTATGAGAAGCTATGCCCAAATATTGTTTATATATGTTTATTTTTATTTAAAGGGGGTTGATTATAAAACCAATCTCTTTCTAAAGAAGAAAAGGGAATAGTATAGATATGATAGGATGAAGGTAGGTTATTGAATCTACTTTTAAAGAGCAACAACTTGTTTGAAATGTTTTACAATGCTATGAATTTTAGTTTATTGATAACAAATTTAAAGTTAATTTTGTTATACTGTATGTATATTTCTACTCTTGTTTAAGGTATTATGTTTGTGCAGCTCATTTGAAATTGTAATGGATAATTAAGAAATACAGATTAGCCGGGCGGTGGTGGCGCACGCCTTTAATCCCAGCACTCGGGAGGCAGAGCCAGGTGGATCTCTGTGAGTTCGAGGCCAGCCTGGGCTACCAAGTGA